AAAAAAAAAAAAATGAAATTTGGAATTATGTAAAAACGACAGAATTAGAAGATGAAAACAACAATTTATAATATTAATAAATATGATGATAATTTTTATTTACAGAAACCAGAATACTTTACAAATTAAAGAGAGAATATCCTTATTAATAATAAATATTTTCTATGCTTCTTTTTGTTTATTATATTTGTTATTATTAAAATATTATCTCTAAATGTTTCTTTTTAAATAATTCTACAATTCTTGTGTTGAAAAAAATCATTTATATTAGACATTTTATCTAAATAATCGACATTAATTTAGATCATGAATTTTAAAAGTAAAGAATTAAAAGTAAAGAATTAAAAATCATGAAAGAAATTAATTTTAATTTAAAAAAATTTAAATTCCTCTAAAGATATGATATTGATGTGTTTAAAGTTTAATTAACACGTTTTTATCAACATATGTTAAAATATGTTTAAAAACAAATATTTTAGTAACATTAATTTGACATGATATGATAAAAATGTAAAAAAAGATTAGAAATATTAATCAATTTTGTCAAATACAAATAAATTTCATGAAAATTAACGTCATAAATATAATTATAAGCGATAATATATTAGTCATATGATTATTTATTTAATTAGTAATATATTTAATATAACTAACATAATTATTTATTTATTTATTTTGAATTTCTTTAATTATTTGTTACTTTTCCTTTTCTATTTTTCAAATCTATTTTTCAAATTATTTTTTTCTACAAATATAAAGAAACATATTTTGAACAATCTTCATATGAAAATTAAGTACATATATTTATATCATGTATATAGAAGACATATTAAATTATCGAATCAATTATATCAGTAAATATGGGAAGAAAGATAAAATTAAAATTATAAAATTATGAAATTGCAGAATATGCTTAATAATAAAACTTTTCAGATTATTAGTGGTTTTACAGTCAAGATTTTCTAATTTTAATTCCATATTTAACTCACCACATGTGAATATATATTGATTTTGAATAAAAAATATTACAAAATATTAAATGGTAATTTAAATCTCGATAACATGAATCCTTAAATTTTAAATGCGGATATAAACACATTAATGCAGTAAATTCGTTCTATCAGATCAATTTGCAAAGAAAGCTAACAAATTTTATAATTCCTACTTCTGTTACATATTCTTTGTATATGTACCAACTTTTCATTTGAATTTTTAAAAATAAATTCAATATACAAATAAATTCAATATATAAATATAATTATTCTATCTTTAAAAAATTATTCTTCATATTTTTTTCTAGAACTATATATTATCTATATATTAACTATATATATTATTATATATTATCTCAATTAATAGTTTTCTTAAACATACACATACAAAAATAAAGGTGTGACAAAGCTGACAAACAAAATTCCGTAAAATTTTTAGTTAAGTTAGCACTTTTAGGGAATATAAATTATAACCTGTCACATTCTAATCCTTTAAAAAATATCTATAACAAGATAAACGAAAATTTTTAAAATTCAAAAAAACAATTTACTTTATCTTTGCGAAATACATACCATTACCACCTATATATTGACCAACCGTTAGTAAAAATTCAACAGTTCCTACAATTCACTTAGGAACTATTCTGCCGACTTTTGAAATTCACTTGTAAAATATCTCCAACATCTTAAGTAAGTGTTTTCATATATCCTTAATTTTGATATTTATTTGCAATCTTTCATTCATCTGACAAAATAAAATATTTTATAGAAAAATGATAAGGTGGTTGTTTATGGTGGCATGTCTTGGCATAGCTTGTCAAGGTGCCACTATTCGAGAAAATTCTCAAAAAAATTTGGAAAATTCGTTGAATGTAATTCACGAATGGAAATATCTTGATTACGATTTCGGTAGCGAAGAAAGAAGACAAGCTGCGATTCAATCTGGCGAATATGATCATACCAGAAATTATCCCTTCGATGTCGATCAATGGCGTGGTAAAATTTTCTTATTTGAAATTATTATTACATTCTAATCGTCGAAACACTTAATATTCAATTATTTTCATTACTCATATTTCTTCATTTTTGTATAATTAAAAAGATATTTCACATTTTGCATTTCTTGTTTAAGATAAGACTTTTGTCACCGTACTAAGATACAATGGTGTGCCATCTACTTTGAACGTGATATCTGACAAAACTGGCAAGGGTGGACGCCTTCTACAACCATATCCTGATTGGTCGTGGGCAGAGTATAAAGATTGCTCCAA